GGGCATGCTTGCCTGGCTGTACGACGTCTTCGGGGTGATCCTCGGCGTCAAAGGTGATCGTACCTTGGGACCATGCCAGCCGTTCACTGGTTACGTCCTCTGTTGCGTAGATCGTGCGTCTAGCGAGCTTCTAGTTTTGGTGTGTGCCAAACGTCATGAATATCATGTTCACGGAAGTCCCGCAGGAGGCCTCGTAGCACCGTGTAGGTCGTATAATATGTCTCCATGCAGTGTGACCGGGCCGATCATAGACCTCTTGGGCCTGCCCTTACATGTTATACACGCGTTTGACATAGCGTGAAGGCGAGATGTCATCGGATTGCCCTGATCCATCAGCGAGCAGCTCGAAATAGCAGCTCGAAATGGCATGGCGAGTGATCGTCGGCCTCTAATGATTCTCCAAGCCCGGTTCGTTCTCCGGTCAACATCGCCCATGCCTGGAGCACCAACTGACGGAGCAAATTCCCGTCAGATCGCTCGGTATGGTTCGTGACGAGCCCGGGAGTACCGAAACGGAGTGTGCACACACAATTTACCCAGGTTGGGGCCTCCAAAGAGTAATACCCTACATCCTACTTTGTGTTATTATTCATGGTGAGGGAATGCCTCGTGTAGAGGATTACAATGGTGTTTGAGATGTTTACCGAGAGTTGAGTTCCAGATTGGATTGCTAATGAGGACCTAGGCCTCCCTTTATATAGACAGGAGATGCCTAGGGTTTACATAGGGGGGAGGTCAGATCAATTCGGCCGCTGCCCTCTACCTTGGGGAACACGCTCATTGCCTTCGCCTCCTTAGGGTTCCATGATTCCCTTTGGGCCTGGTGGGCCCTGGCCAAGATCGAGGGCGGGCTCCCTTACGTCAGGCACCCCGGGTTTGGGACCCTGTCAGCCTCCACCTCCGGCGAACCTGGTACCCCTCTCCTTGGATGGTGCCTTGTTGGCTCCAGACCACACAAGGGCGGTGAGCATGATCCTTAGGAGGCATGACGGAAGCGTGGTCTTTGCAACGTACAGATTCTTATTTAACTACAATTATGCTTTAGAGTGAGAAATTCTTATTTAACTGCAATGATGCTTTAGCAAGAGAAATTCATGCCCTGATACAGGTCATGGCATTGGCATTACAACATAGTGAAGGCCTGATCATTGTCCAATCAGACTCCTCCGAGGCGTTGGCGACCCTTTCCGGTGAGGGCTTGGATCGTTCAGTACATGGTCCACTTGTCGCTGAGTTTATTCTACGTAAGTTTAAGCGAAGCGTGATTAAAATAGGGTAGCGGATCGACCCCAATACACTCGAAATTAATTTAACACTGTTGTATGGCTACACAGATGACTACCATGTTTCAACCAGAGGTCGGAAGGAGAACATGCTTGGAGGATGAGCAGGGGAAGTAAGTTGACACTTAGAACATTGTTTTAATCGCAATGAACAAAAAAAAACTTGCTGACATGTATTTAGAGATTATAAAGTAAGTTTCTTATGATCTCTATTTAAATTGCACAAATAAGCAGATGTTTTTTAAGTATAACGTGTCAAATTTATTAACCCAGTAAAGCGGGCATCGGTAAAAGCTAACAACATGCTCAGTCGTAGTCATCAAATAGATCAAATTACAACATGAGAATGCATTCTCCTGTACAATGAAAATCTGAATCCTATGCTGAATGATTGTGTATGTCTGTTGCTCCAGAAGCTGTACCCAGCTTGTTCCATGAAACCTTGCAGCGCAGAGTTCATATATAATCCTTACTGAAAGAATCTTCTAACCTTTTTATATTCGACCAAAAGAAAAATGGATCAGTTAGTTTTACAGGAATAGTGTGTGCAAAAAATTTAGTCAGAATTATGTTTTTTTAAGGAGGATCACCCCCGGCCGGCCTCTGCATCAATCGATGCATGCATCCATATTATTAAATTAAAACGTAACAAAGTCATGAGGTCCAAAGAAGCTCATAAAAGTCAGAATTATGTTGGGAGTAGAAAAGGTTACCTGTTCCAAAGTTAAGAACATTATGACATTCCATGACCCAACTCGACAAAAGTTTGCAATAAACCCCTTGTAGAAAGCAGCAAGTCCCTGCAGAAAAGCACGATCTTTGGTCAGTATGGATGTATTATAGTGATGATTTTCTGCAAAGCACCTAGTAACATGACACTACACTTTCTAAATTATTGCAAAATAAAGCATATTCCTCCAGCACAAGCATTTGCACCATCCAAAACCAGATCAACAATAAAAGGTATAGTTGGTAGAACCACAAGTTGCTGGCATTCACACAGGCGTATGTTATGCCTATTTATAGAAAATGATTACTGAGACGGCATGCCATTTCATCAATTTTCTCTAAATGTGGTATGCCACATCATGAAACTCTAGCGTGCCATATCATCAAAACTGCTAGCAACTGTGGCCTGAATGGGACAGGAACGGAGGTTTGGGGGTAGACTAACCAACGAAATTTTCCTAGTACACAACTGCTGCTTTGGAATTACCTTTAGAAAGGAGGCGCTTGCCCGGCTTTAGCGAACTGAAGCAAAGCGATTACAACAAAAAGTGCAAAGCTTTGGAATGGCCAAAGAGGCACGTTTCTTTCCCTCTCCCTCTCCCTCTCCCTCTCCCTCCCTCTCCCTCCCTCTCCCTCCCTCCCTCCCTCCCTCTCTCTCTCTCTCCCTGTCTGTGTGTGTGTGTGTGTGTCGTAGCTCTAAAATTCTGTAGTGATCTTAACAAAATCTAGGCTAAACTCAAACTACAATACATCGGCATGTTTTTTTACTTCGAAAAGGAGGCTTACCCCCGGCCTCTGCATCAAGCGATGGATACAGCCATCTTTATTAATTATTCAACGGTCCGACAAAGTAGATGCATGGATCAACCCAAAGCCACCTTCCTGACGACCTCAATCGCTACACCTACAAGTCTCATGGAGTGCCCTGGCGCATCCACACACACCATCTAATCCGGTGGCCACCCCAGGCTGCCTTGAGCCGAGAGCACCAACCGGTGTAGCAGACCCTCAACACACATGGAAAAGTCCGCCGCCGCCATCTTCCGCCGTCCCATCTTCAAGAGAGATAAATGCATATGCCTTGCCAAGCCCAACTGCCGTCGAAGCCACCACGACGCCAGACAGCGCCACCATCCTGCGCGCGTCCATCAACACGCGACCATCGCCGAGACCCGCCGTTGTCGGCATGTCAGATGCCACGCCACTCCATCGCTGTAGTCGTCCACTGGTCCCTCTAGCCGATGAACCCCTACAAGAATGATGCCCCCAACGAGGGAACGACACTTAAGCACCGCCATCATTCGATCGACTGATCAAGGGTTTCCCCCGAAGGTAGCGGAATGAGGTGGGAGCTTCACCTCGATGATGCCTTCAAGAAGGAAACGGCGCCCGGGGCGTCTCCATCACCGGCTCCGGCCACCAGCCGAAGACGGTTTTCACCTGGATCTGTCCCACGAGAATCCAACCGATATCTTGTGCACCGGCCAGACCACCTTGAAAGCCCCAGATCAGGCCGCCCAGATCCGGCGACCACCCACAACAACACTGCCGCCGCGGGAGCCCTGGCGCACCGGCCACTACCGGAGTGCACCACCACTAGAGCCTAGGAGGAGGGCCGCCACCCCACTTCGCCCAACCGCGTGAGCCGCCGGGAAAGATCCCGCTTTTGCTCGTCACCATCACTGATCTAATCCAATCCGGAGCACCAGATCACCAGCGCAGTTCCGCCTTGGACAAGGGCACCACCACGCCATGCCGATGCGGGCTGCCTGAGCTTCACTCTCCACCACCGACCAGGGCCGCCGCCCTGGGATCCAGGCCGGACCTCGCCGCCGCTGCCGGCCACGCCCAGCCCCACCCCTATCATCTGGCCGATCTCTACCGTCGCCACCACAAGCGCCGCCATGGACCAAGGGAGAGGCCGCGTCCCGCGGATCCAGCGCCCTCGCCGACATTCGATCCGAGAGGAGGAGCAGCCCTTTGCCGCTACCGGCCAACGCACGGGCTTTGCCGGCGCCGACCCTAGGCGGCGACGGAGGGGGGGAGGGGAGTCATTGGGGCGCTGGCGGCTAGGGTTAGCGCCTCTCGTGTCGAGGGACCAGAGGCAGGGGCGACGCGAGAGGGACGAGAGGTTTGGAATGTGATAATAAGCATTAGAAAAAAGCTGACAGAAAATATAGCCATGCACATGTTTCCTGATTAAGCTGCAAAATGCAGTCAAGCGTAAGTCAGCATCTTCAAATAATCCATCAAACAGGTAGTCAGCAATAAAATGACATTTATCTCCTGGATACATCAACAACCATATGTTGAGCAAACCAACCAGGCACCCATGGAAGGGAAAAACTCAATAACCTAACAAGGTGATGACTATCTATCTGACACAAAATATCAACTATATTGCCGTTTCTTATTTGAGTAAGGATGATATAGTATATTAAGGGCAGATGTTGACATATTTGATACATACAGATATGGGCTTCACAAGTGGAAAATGAATTTTGTTCGCTAAGTGTTTGGATATTGGTGATAGAACATCAAAAGTTATCTTCTATAAAGTTCTTAGAAATTTGGAGGTATAAAACAGCACAATACTGAAAATAATGGAAATTGTTCATCATACATCATTTTTTAATGTCTTGGCGAAACAATCAAATGTACTTCTGTATGTTGAATCGCCCATCATTCTTGATTTCACCTACAAAGGACTCATGCGATTAAAAATATGTGAAAACTAGACCATTCATTAATATAGAAGACAAGGGAAATAGTGAGGTATAAAGCTTTTGCAGACAATACCACATCCACTGGAGATCCAATGCAAACAGCAAAAATACCGGCACCGAGTCCAGCCAAAAGATGAGTATAAACATTATCTGTAAACCCAGGAAGACCTAGAAACATCTGCACACAAAGAAAAATGTGATGAAAGTATAATTAAATACAGGATCGAAAGATGAGGGAGAATGAAGAGCACCTGTTTAAATTGGTCATAGCTGGCCAACTCGGCGGCATTAATCAAAGCATTTCGTGCCATATTAGGACCAAGGCCAGTCCACAAAGCTCCGATACCTTCCTAGAAAAATAACAAGCTTACAGACCATGGGCGAGAGGAATAATCTTGTAACCTTTTACTGGTCGTTGTCATGATGAATCGTAGCAGCAACCTGTCTGACTATGGTGGCATACGCATTAAGGGCTCCAGAATAGTGCCTCTTGACAGCAGTAGATTTTCCATCTGCTTGCAATCTCACTTTGACAAGATCAGTTGGATTTGCGACAGCAATCGCTATGACACCTATACACACATAGTTAATTCGTTCAGTGTGTGTTTCATCATCCACATTAACCTGGCACGGCCCTTTACAATGGACCAGGGTAGTGTGGCAATGTTATGAGAAAAGTAGAGTTTTTCCAGTGAAGAGAGGCTGGAAATGCTTACCAGTTGTAAGAGCGGCAAGAATCTTGTTCATTAAAGTGGCATCACCTACAAACACAAATAAGGCTTTGACCTGCAATGCACAGAAAGAGCAATCCTGTCAGGCAATTGGTCACTCTGAACTGAAGAAGGGAAATGCACTGCAACTGCAAGGTGAAATGGGAGCAGCACAGACAGGCTCATACAAGCCGACACGGAGGCCGCCATAGAGGCACTGGCGGTGAAAGCCAGGGATGATGCCCTTCCAAAGTGCGCTGACGCCTTCCTCCCTTGCAATCGACATCATTGTGCCCAGCATTCCTACTGTAGCTGCAGGCCCAGCAGCTGTTTTCTTTTGCAGCTGAAGACGCACCTTGGCTGTGTCCAGAGGAATGGTGCACACCTGATGGAATCAATCACAACAACAATCTCAAGTATTATGATCAATATATAACGAGTCTGAGACTCAGTAATCATCATATCATATCCAGGTAAGGAGAGGTGAGGCAACAAAGAAACCCTAGGCCTAGCTATAGCTCTAGTTTAGTGCAGCAGCTCAGCTGATGAAATGGAATGGTTCTCTAGTCTCTCCTACTCAGGTCTTGCTGCTTGTTTTTTATGGCACGAGAAACAGATTAATATACCACTAGTATATGTACTACACTGGTACGGTATGGAGGCTGGAAATGTTATCCAAAAAGCTTCCCTTCTATCACGGGGTGCATTAGCAAGATCGAGCAGGCATTCATCCCAATCCCCAATACAAGGGATATGCTAGGCAGCGGCACAGCCAGGATAGAGCAAGAGAGACTGCAATGCTGTGGTGTACCTCAGCGAAGCAGGAGGCGATGGCGCTGCTGATGAAGACGGCGGCGAAGGAAGAGGCCGTCGCCATTTTATCCCCGGGGAAGCGGCGGCGGCTGTGCGGTCGATGGCGAGTAGAGGGAAAGAAGGGTAGAAGCAAGCTCCGAGTAGGCTGCTGATCTAGTCCATATTTAAGATCTATAGATTCAGATCTCAGCGTCTTTCTTGTTTCCAGGCTTCGTCGGTTACAGTAAACTCTAGCAAATGATTCATATCTGCAGTCTCTGAAATCGTTTTGTAGATTGTAACCCGAAACCCGATGTACCGAACCAAAATAACCGGCACTGAAGTCGAATACACCGATACCGAAAACTTCGGTGGTATGACCGGTTTACATGTCTGAAAAAAAGTTAGTTCGATGCATTTGGGTTTAGCCCTCGGTCAACTGAAGTGACCGAACACCCAGTAAAAAGAAGGCCTGGCCCATACGCGCCTACTGCTATCCCTATGGGTCTACCCTAATCTCTCGCAGCCGCATGCGTAGCGAGTATACCAAGGTAGCGAGCGAGCCGCGCGCCGACTAACCTCTGCAATTAAATTCACCGCCTCCTGGCTTCCCGCATGGAGTTTTTTTATTAAAATAATTTCGGCATTGAGTTTAATGGTCGATGCTTCCTCGTGTTCCCAATGCTGAGCATGTGAATTGGCGTGGAGGCTAGTATTATCTTTTAGCAGGCAGGCACGCAGTGCCACATGGTGTACACCGGTATAGACACTGAGTACTGTCAGTACGGCCACAATGATTCCTGCTGCTACTCGCCTTTTCTATTATATCGGTGCCATTGGGTCATAACCGATGACCAAACCGATTTCTCGGTGCAACGGAACCTCGGTTTCACAGTTTTTTATTGACAGACCAGTCAATGATTTCTCAAAACTGAATTGTTGCAAAAACCGAAGAGCCGCACCGGTCGGTTCAGGGAACCGAACCGCCCAGCCCTACCTAGCCTCTATAGCCCTCTTCCTCCTCCCTTCCCTCCCCTCCCCGCCACCGGTGTCCCCTCATAGCTACCGATGAAGGTGCCGGTGATGTTTCTTGATGTAGGGTGGAACCCTATACGACCGATCTTTCATGAAAGGAGCGGATCCCGCGATGAACACGAAGAACATAAAAGGGGAAATCACGAAGGGAAACACAAGAGAATCACTCAAACCAACAAGATTAGGTCACACATATGCTAGATCCTCGAAACACAAATAAATACACGGTCCGAATCCAACAAAGGACGATACATAGGTAACCGGTTCTTCTCGGAGAGGAGGTCTTGAGGTCTTCCCGTTAGGGGTCTTGAATCCAAGTGGATCTTCTCCGAAGAGGTGACGGTCCCTCGCGATGGAGTAGATCCAGATGGATGAGCGAAGCCCTATCTCACATATGAGCTAACACAACGCTAACCCTAGAAGGAGGGAGGAGGAGGTCTATTTATATTCTAGAGTCACGGAAGGGTAAGTGGGCTTCGGCCCAACACGCGGGCGTCATACAGGCGTCAAACCTCCGACGGTCACCGGTCGTCCGATGGCTCGCAAGGGTCCGGACGTCCGGTGCTCATCGGAAGTCCGATGTTTTGGCTCGGGTTTGCTTTGGTCGAATGCCCGGTCGGGGTCGGATGTCCGGTGATCTCCATACTTCCGATGTTTTGGCTCGGGTGCGGTGGTGCCGGTCGTCCGGTGTTGCTCAGTCGTCCGGACGCTGGGAGGTGTCGGCCGTCCGAACGCTGGAGCATGCGCGGGCTGGGACTTGGCTGGCCGGTTGGAGGCTCCAGGCGTCGGACATCCGAGAGGCGTCGGTCGTTCGAAGACTGAGAGTTTCGAGCAGTCCTTCTTCTTGTCCATTGAACTTGGTGTCCTCGCCGTCTTGTCCGTTGGGTGTAGTTGATCCGTGGCTTTCCTCCAAGCACCTGATCACACATAGGGTCTCCGCATGAGGTAGTAGCCATGTCTCATATGTAGGAAGTGGAAGTTCGGAGAGACGCGAGTTCACCTTATCTTCGATAGCCTTTGCTCGGGCTCTTGTCATTGGTCCAAGTGGTGTCGTGGGAGATGTCGATACGTCCATGGGGATGACCGTGGGATTCTCTGCATCATCTCCCCCCCCCCTTGGGAAATATCCGATCTCGGATCAAAATCTTCATCACCATGGTAGGGCGAGAGATCCTTGACATTGAAGACATCACCATGGTAGGCCATGGCACGACAGAGATCACCGGAATCCGTCTAGAGGAGAGGGGAGGCTCGTCGATGATGGAGATGCAGTCCACAGCCGCCCAAGGGAAGATGGGGGCTGGTTGCCCCACCCATTGTCCTCATGGCCAATTCTGGTTGTTTAAAGGTGCGTCGGGGCCGGTGGCAGCCGAAATCCGATGGTTGAATGCCGCACCATGGGTCGGTGGCGGCCGGATCCGGCGGTTGATGACACGCCGGGGGCCGTGGTGGGCGGATCCGGTGGTTGAGGCCGCGTTCGGGGCCGATGGCGGCAGGTCTTGCCATTACCAGGGGTGGCACGGGAGAAAGAGGGGGAGGATGGTGGCCGGAGTAGAAGGTGGTGCGTGGGGTTGGGGGAAGGTGCGGCACCGGGGCGGTGGTCGGAGAAAGGTAGAGGGGTGAGGGCACGCCGGCGGTGGGAGGGGGTTGTGGGCACGCCGACCATGAGAGGTAGTGAGCTAGGCGGGGGCGTGTCGAGGCGGGGGTGGAGGGGATCTGGGCCGGGGGTCGTGCGTGTGTAGGTGGTGGTCGATGGTTTCGTTTGACTCTGTAGGTGCGAGTCCGGAGGTGTTAGCAGAATAAGACATTTTGTGTGTAGAATAAGAATCTTAACGGTGTTAGAAGAATAGACCCACCCTACATATATATCTTGCGTATAAGTAAGCAAGCAGTTGGCCATTCTGTAGCTCAATTAAAGTCTTAGGGAGCATAATGAACAACAGAGGGATTCATACAACCTACTACAACAAGCAAAACTATGCAATCATTAGCCTAGTATAAACTAGATTGCGAGCCTCATGTAGTAATAGTTGGTTAATAGACTTCAAAGCTTCAGGAACACTTCGCCAGAGTAACTAAATGGCAATGCCTTTAATTATGTCAACTAATAGTTATACAAGTACCCAACATCAGGCATCATTGTTTGGGCATCTCATTAACTGAGGACAAATAAAGCAATTGAAAAGAGCAATTTAACTATGCTTGAAACAAACAAGCAATTGAACTGTTGAGTTGGCAACATGCATACATGCACGCCTCAATAACATCCATGGCCTAGCTACATTTACTATATAAAGGAACAAGTAATGTAATATTGTTTGCCCCCTATGAAGTATCTCGACTAGTATGTAATCAATATCCTAGTAATGATAGGGAGGCTAATGATGTGAATATGCGTTTGGTTATGACATCGCCCACTCTACCATGACAGGAAGTAGTTTCACACTGTTCACTACTATAAGATGTTTTAGATATTTAAAAGTAGACTACATCCGTAATGAGTGAACAGACACATTAAAATGTGTTTAGATACATCTGATTTATAAAAAAAGTTAGAACGTCATATAGTAGTGAGCGGAGGGGTTTTTAATCAATGGCCCAATGACTGGGTTACAGGTGAAGAACCCTACACAAGCACAATGTCAGACAAATAGGATGTCATGGTAATTGTAATACAGTGACTTACCATAACTGGTTGAACAGGCTCAGCGCTGCTCCTCCTTCTCTTGCAAGGCTCTTTCCTAACATCTTGTACTTGGAAATCCTCAATCTTATCTTGATTGCACCCCCTCTACAAGGTGACACAAACTAGTTACTGGTCTCCTTGGAAGATAAATATGCATGCTTTCTAGTCTGTGAACCACACAAAAGGATGAGTTTATAACAAAACAACACCACATAATGAAAAATGCCACATCTCTTGCACACAATGAAACGAGCATTTACTATGTGTGCACTGTGTAAAAACTAGGCATACCTTCGAACTGGATCTCCAGGTACTCTTGGAGAGCCTACTTTAGTGTACAACCAAACCTTTATGTCACCTATGAGTTATACAAGCCCCCACTACAATAGCCCTTAGTGTTTAAATCCTTGACAAGCTTTGTTAGGTCAAGAACAACAAGTAATCAAAGCAAACAGTCCTAGTATGGTTGGATGATACAAACAAGCAATTGAACAGATGTGTGAGCAAATCTTGCACAACACTGAATAACATATCAAGAAAAGAAGCATAGAACGAGGCTTAAAGACCATCACTTGACTAACTAGATTTAGGGGGCATTTAAACATCATGTGCAATGTATGAACTAACATAAACATTGCATATTTCAGATTCTATAATGAAATGCACATGTATTAGGTTATGCCATGTATGATGCCTAAATGTACAATATAGCAGGCGGGAGCGATTCATCATTGCACGCACAATTGAATTGCAGGTTAGGGGCCAGTTCTATTCCGCCTTTTCAGAGCTTATTGTCAAAATAAGCCATAAAAGGTGTAAAGAAGTCATCTTTGAGTTATGGGCTTGGGCTTAACTTATTTCGCTTTGGTGGGGGGTGCTTCGAGTAGAAGCTCACTAAAAATTGAAGGGAAGGAGAATAGTGAAATGACTCTGTTGTCTGCCTATATTACACTCAAAATGCCACTACTCACATTCGCGTCACACCTGACCCTCAATTAAAAACAAACACACAAGCGTTCATTGCCCTGCCCGCTTGCATCTCCTCTCCCCTTTTCCTCTACCTCGATCCCCTGCTTGCAGCGTTAGGGTTCCTCCAGCGAGCCGTCGCCACTAGTCGCATATGGCCTGGTCCTCGACGATGCTCTGTCCAGCTAGGCTACATGGCCGGCGGGTAAGGCCAAATCTCCCCGGCTGCTCCTCCCTCTAGAGCCGCCCCTCATTCTCATGGTCTCCAGCAGCTGCTCCGATGTGGTCCGTCCAACGCACTACTCTGGTGGTCGCCGGACGGCTACGACCGATGCCCCACTCCGGCAGAAGGCACCTCGTTCCCCCTCCCCTCCTCCCGGGCCGTGGCCTTGAGGTGC